TAATATTAGTGCCAATCTCATTCGCAAATCATATGGTTCTGTCTTCTTTCAACATATTTTTCTTTATAGCTGTTATTTGATTGTACTAAACTATATTTTTGTCTTTGTCTTAGGTAATATTAGTATTTCTAGGATAAAGTGCGCAGGCGACCTGTTACTATAAATCTGGTGACATATAAGGAACACATTTTGACACCATTTTTGATTCATGTGACACGCGCGCGTACAACCCAGATCCGAGGGACATGTGGGTTTCATTGGAATAGTATGACCCAAATATATGGTACATATCCCTAAGCTATGCCACCACCCCTCCCCATTACAGGACAGAGTTGAGGATTGTGTACTGAACGTTACTTTGGATACCCTGGGTAATGTGACATCCTCTGTTTTACTTCCTCTGTGGTTAGGCCACTTAACTTCCCCAAAAAATGTGTGTTCCCGACAGAGAGCCACCAACCTAAGCTAATGTCTCTCTATCCGCATTCTGTGTGTTCGGTTACTCAGCCGCCGAATTGGCAAAATAAATTTTAAAGAATGGAAAAAGAAAAGTATTTTTGAAGTGTGTAAATATTTAATTCCTAGCTGATCGCTTTCGGCTTACAAAGCCATCTTCAGAGCTATTCTACAATAGAACAATGATATAAATAACTAATTTAAAGTTTACAATGTTTCACTTAAGTCAAGTATTTAAAGTATCACTACTAAGAGTAATCTCATAGTAATTATCACAAATATATATGGTACCCATCCACGTGACCTGTATAAGCTGGTACAAGGTTCCAGAATTCTGGAATGGGTATCATGACAGAATGGAAGATGTACAATAAGCCGATTGACTGTAATACGACCGGTTTGTAACAGACAGCACTGAAGAAAAAATCGGTTAGTAAAATAAAAGAACTAAATTAATGTAGGGATTAATTTTTTTGGTGAGCGCAATACTCGTTTTTTTTTTATCTTTTTGGGGCCTTCTGCTACTGCATGTTAGACTCTCGCGGCTGTCTCATTCTTGAATAATCTTCTTCATTGAATTATCTCTATACCCAGCTAGCTATTGTCTGGGCCGTCTATGTACCGTCCTTTTGTTTTTGTCGTAGTCTGTTCTGACTCTCGTAATATTTGGCTCGGATTGTTCCTGAGATCGTTAAATATTTTAAGCGCTCTTTCGTCCACCGCTCTCAGGATTCTCTTTTGTTGCGAATTCTTAAAAACGTACCTTAGTGGGACGTATCTAGTCAAATTCAGAGCTTCCCTGATCATATAGTTCTGGACAGTCTGAATATTTTTCTTGTTTGTCTTACAGGTATGTCCCCATGCCACTGAGCTATATACTAGAGTTGGCAAAATTGTGCAATTTGCCATGCTGATATTTGTAATGAATCTCAGTGAATGATTTTATTTAGTATAATGTCTAGATATTTAGCTTGATTTGTCCATTCAATCGGAGTATTGAATAGGGTTAATTCTCTGCCTGGTCTGCCATTCATTTGACTGCAATTTTCCGCTACACAATTCTGATATGCTAGAAACATTCAATTTAATAGCCAATAGTTTCAACCAGAAAGGGGCTACTTCTTTTTTCAGATTCATGTAACAGTCTACCTATTTTTATAAGCTTAACAGTGTTAAGAATTGTGAGTACTTCGTAGGGTGCGACTGAATTTAAATTCGCATTATTTGAATTAAAAGGAATAATGTAAAATAGAGCCATGGAACCGTAAAAACTAATGTAAAAGATGTATTAACTCAACTAATACATTTTGGTCTTTAATCTCTTCCTTCACTAGTATATCTCTTCACTTCTCTAGTCTTCATATTAGTTTTTTTTTATTAATTTGAATAAAATATCGTTGATCTCTATTGCAATCTGATTTTGACATTAAACGTCATCATTAAACTTCATAGTTAACACTTAGCAATTTTCACGAAATATATATTGCCATAAATATTGCAAACATTGAGTCTGTAGTTGATCTAATATAGTTGATCTGTAGTCTCTTTTATATTGTATAAATTTAAATTCAAGTTTTATCCGTGAATTATTTGCTGGCCTGTTTTTATGTCGTGTCTAAACGTATGTCGCCGTAATTGTACAATAATTGTACATTGTTCAACATCACCATAGATTGTGTAAACCAATTACATTACATTATATTAACATAACTATGAAACAATATGATAAATCTATATCTATATGTGGTGTTACTACGTTCATTTAGACGTCATATTATTTTCAAAACATATTACAAATATAGCCAATACATAAAATAATACAATCAGCTATAGGAGTAAACTAAAAACATTTTATTTTTACATACGACGTTCAGATATGAGTATGGTTAAGTAATAATTGGTAAAATATTACAAAATATTTTAGGACAAAGTTTTACACGCGCAAATATTGAAACCACAACAATACAAATGAAGGAATATAAACGTCAAGTAAACCACTGACGACCAGCGTAAGGTTTTCTATTTTTAATTCTATACTAATATTACTAAGCTACGAAATTGATGTTTTTGAGCTAGAAATAAAATAATTGATGACATCTACCTATTAAAACATTCATCTCCGTCTTTTTTTACGGAATACAGTGGCGGCCAGTGAGATATGTTTGTTTAAATTAATTAATTTTTGAGGCCCACCTTAGAATGTCATTTTTAATCAATGATTGCTAGCTATCTCACTATTTCACTATATTCAAATAATTTACAACTGATAAGTCTCTAAGAAAAAGATTTTCAAAAGGTTACAGTACAATCATAATTCGATCGGAGCTCCACTAAAAAAAATTTTATAATTTAAAAAATCAGAGGGGTTAGAGTGCACCGATCTTACTTTTATTACTTTACAACATCCTGTTTTAGCTACATTTAGTCTAATTTATGTGCATGCACTTTACGAAAAATTACGAAGTAAACAATTGAATTGCGAATTTTCTTCATTTTTTGTTCAATGGGCATTATTTAAAATTATACATCAACATTCGAAAAATAAACACAAACAGCGGTATTTCGAAGAGTTTCCAAGCCGTCAGAAAATATTTGAGATCATTCGTAAAAAATCCCAGGACATGTAATTACAGGTCCTAAATATAGGTTGCTACAAAATATTTTATAAGGGAACATAACAAGTAAACGCAGTCCAGGACGAAGATAGACTTCATGGTTAAAAAACTTGCGAGATTGGTTATTGAAACAAGAATGCTATTTAGGGTGGCAGTGAATAAAATAAAGATAGCTATGATGGTAACCAAAGTTAAAGTTCTGAAAAGGCATGGTGCATGGAGAAGAGTAATAAAGCCACTCATACTGACTACTGATCTCACGAGTTACATTGCTGGCCCCTAATGCAATATTCACTACTTGTATAAATATTGCGTTCCTGAATAGCTACTGCTCTAGAGTTAAACGAAAGCTGTGGACAAAGAAACAAATCCTAGATATTTGTATCTATAATTCTAGATATTAGAAGCAAAATAATTTTGGCATAGATAATATAACGCTTCTGGAGGAATTGCCTCCAGAAAAGGCGTTACCTGGATAAACAAGTCGTTATTTAACACAATTTACAAAAAATTTAAAAATAATATTTTACAATGTATCTTATGGATACTTATATTGCGTCTTGATTTTTACTAATTAGCAGAACCGAGCCAATCATGAAAGGTTATTGGCGTATATGTGCATAAAATAAAATGTTAACTGATTAAAAATTATAGATTAATAGCTTAGGTCTACTTTTATATTAGTTTGTGTAAGTTAGTTACTTCAGAAACTTCCATCACTATTACTATAACCTGGCACACTCTTAAGATCACTTGGTAAATCACTTTGCAGTCGTTTCAGATGGTAGATTGAACAAGTGGATTTACAAAAAGGGACACGCTAGCGTGCCTCCTATTTAATACCTATTGCCTTGGAAAAGACATTTCAAGATACACGAATTAGAGACGGCAGTATTATTTACAATAGATCGATACAAATCTTGCGTAGCAAGCGAGATGTTGGACAATATTTTATAGTCTTGGAAACGACGACAAAATATTCCGGGGTCGTCATCATCGAAGATAAAACCAAATACATGCTCGATACGAAGGTTGGAAAGGGGTGAAACCAAGTTAGGGCTTTTAAAAATCAGATTTTAACAGGTCGCCAGAAACCGAACGGAATGATGATGAATCTTGGAGCAGACTAGGATCCACAAAGGATTGTCCATTAAAAGATGATGATGATATACGAAACAGATTAGGTTGAAGGCATTAATCACTGAGTATTAGAAAAAAGGTTGTAACAACCACATTAACGGAATAGAAAAAGGAAAAATGGTGTCAATTACTCGAGCTAAATCCCCAGTAGGACATTGGGAGGTGGGCCGTCCAAATTTATCCAAAGTGAACATATAAGAAGAAACAGAAAATATTTCGACTAGATGTTTATGTAATCCTTCTTATCACGAAACAGATCAACCAAGAAACGATGGCACATGACAGTTAATATTGTTAAAGCATGCTGTCACTAAGTAATTGGTCTGGTAAAAACGCGATCAATGTTGATTGAACTCGGTTGTATCGCCACATTCGGAATATGACAAATGAAATATGACCTGCAATGCCATTCGCCATAAATAGTAATGCACTTATCTCTGTTTTTATTTGAGCATGTGTTACGGAATATAGTAAAACATTTTATTGAACTGACCAATCTTTTTTATGGTACTAGACCTTTTGTGAAATAGTCAATCATTAAAAATGTGCTTGACTGTTTTTTTATTGTTGTCTGTTATTAATCTACTTCAAAGGATTTACATAGTTTGAATTAGTGTCTGCTTAACAACCAAATACCTGAAATATTAGTCATTGCAACTAAAAAAAAGTATCCAAGGCATTGTTGAAATACCTATTTGTCGCAGTTAGTGATTTTCTGTTTTAATTTTACTTTATAGCATCAAACCCCGTTGTGTTGCTGCGACTCATCTTTAATGCGTGGTCTGAAGAATGGTGAATCTAAACGGAGGGGTCGTTTGGTGCTACAGAGACAATAAATGGATCCCGCTCCAGCTGTCATCCATCCGCCTCCATGGTGTCCTCACGCAGGCCCATTGGGCGACAATCTCAGACTTTCTCCGCCGGGTAGCCAACAAAGAACTAATCTTGCAAGAAAATGGTTTTACGGAGCTCACCGAAAAGCACAAAGAACTAATGTTCCAAGATATGGAAAATAAAAATATAATTAGTGAAAATGTGATAAAAATTAGTGATAATTCTAATGAACGTAAAGTTAGCCTAGGTCAAATTCCAGAAGATAAAATTGTGGAACAGCCCCGTAGGCCGTCGATGCCAGAATTACGGTCCTTAGAGAAAGATAATTTATTTATTAACAATAATTTATTAAAGCCTCAGACTGATCTAAAGACTGATAAATTATCTAATGGAAATGATGAGATAGTCCTAAGGTTACTCAAGAAATACTGCAAATACAGTAAGGATGCTTTAGATAACGATATAATTAACGCAATTGAGAAGATCCCTGACGAAGATATTCCTAAGAAAACCAGTAGAACAGAAATAAAAGAAGAAGAATTTAAGCCGAGAAGAAGAAAGCTAGGGTACGTTCCTACCGAAGAAAAGATTTATGAAAATCTAGATTTTCCGTTAGATTCTTTAGAAGAAGACAAGAACGAACATGTTATCCGCTGGTTAAAGCAGCAGAATAGCCAGATCAGTTTCGATAGTATTCCTACAAGAAGACATTCCGTGGAAATTGGAATATCATCCCCTACGGATAGCAGAAAAAGCAGTTTGATCGAACGAAAATCATCTTCGTCAGGTTTCGAATCAAGGAAGTCGAGTATTACGACACCTTCGACTCCAGAAAGCAGAAAGTCTTCTTGGTGTGATAGTACTTTTAATAGCCGAAAAAGTAGTGTTGGTTCGACTAGTAGTTGTTCGGAGTGCGAGGAGGGAGAGGGTCTAACACAATGGCAACGGTTTCTGAAGAAGCATCTTAGTTCGAAGAATTCGGAAAAAAGGTTAAAGAAACAACGACAGGCGTGGAGTAGAAACAGACGGAAGTTGAGTTCACCTGCTGACATCCAAAGTTTTGATATCTTCAGCCAATTGTAAGTATTGAACAGAATTTTTATCGTGATTTTGACTTGTTTCCACTGTTGATAACAAATTTTAAAATAACAATTTATTCAAACTGCCATAGTACAGACATCGTTATGGACATTATAGACATCGTATTAGGGGGGGGATAAGAAATTAATTTTCGTACATATTTATCAAACAATGTGCTATTTTGAATAAACTGATCAACTTAAATCCAAACCTTGAATTGTCTAGACGTATTATGTAAGATTCTTTTTATTTCACAACTCCAAATTATTTGCCAGTAAGAAATACTTATTGCGGTTTAACCCGAATGAAAGCTTTTAAAATGATGTTTAAATGAGACATGTCTCCTTTAAACAAATTTTTGCGAGAGAAAGAAATGCAACGTACAAAGTGAGAACTTTTTTTCACTGGAAAGAAAGAATTTTTTAATTTTATCATCGCCTAATATTGGAAATATTCAATGAGGTTCTATTATAATAGATGTGTCAAAAAGTTGACTAGTTGAGGTAAACTGTAAGTAGTAATAAAAAAAACAGAGTAAGGAAAATAAGTAACAGGTACAGTGAAATATTAGTTTAAAAATAGGTGATGGCTAAACTAAAGTTTACAAAAGGCACAAATATCGTCGGAAGTTTTCCTTGCTTTCCTTTAGGTATTTCTTCGTTGAACTTTGAACGAAGCTGATAATAAAAACCAAACACAGTTTCAGTTTTATTTCCTAAGATATCGATTAAATTTGAAAAAAAAAAGTATAAATAACTAATTTTATAAAATTTATAGTACTTTTAAAAGTAAATTTTCTGATCCGTTAGAGACAGTATAGGTACTAATGTTGGAGTGTTAAGCACGTTACGCGAAATAATTGGATTCACGTCGGAGAGTGAGTTACCTTCTTGGGCGTGAACGTGAGCAATGGAGTGTGAGCGTGACTCACGACAACTCGCGATTGGACGTTCCCTGCCCATTGCACCAGTTGCGTCGATTTGCGTTACGGGATAATCCCTGCAATTTTATTAATCGAGCGCAGTCGCAGTATTACACGTATTTAAGGTTTGAATTTTCTACGGGTTGCATATCGTGTTTTATTGTCGCTGAGTCAGAATGAAATTAAAAAAGGTTCTGACGAAAGATATAAATTTAAACATAAAAATACCAATAATTGGAGATATCTCGGTACCTACAAGCCGGATCACAAAATCATTACATATTTATATCCAGCGTCATCATCGACCAGAACGTGCGGTATTTAAACGGTAATTAATTTGATGGTATTTCGAAAAATTAACCATTTTCTAAAAATCTTGTCAACTTTAATCGTCAATATCTCAGAGATTGACATTTTCAATAGAATCAGTCACTAAACTGTATTTCAAGTGTAAAAATAGAAAACTTCTTCAAGATACACCAATCATATCAGTGTAACAATCGATACTCCATATCCGAATAAACAAGAATATTAGAATACTGAAGAAAATGAGAGAGGCTTAGGGTATAACCTGAAATGATATACCAATAACTGTCTCGTATTATATATGTCTGTGGTTGTCTCAGATGCTGTGTTGAACTGGCAAATGCATTGTAGGGAATTTAATTAAAGCCGGTTCAATTCTACGGGTATATTAAAAGAGGAGTAAATAAATACCTACACTACTTCTTAACATAATATGCCACTTAAACAATAATAACATTGCAGTAATAGGAATAAATAACGAGACTACCGGAAGAATACCAACACCATACGGGATTAGACAAGAAGACGTCCTCAGTCCATTCCATTCAAGTTAATTATGGATAAAATAACAGAAAAAGTTTATCCCTGTACCTAGGATAGAAACTACAGCACAGTTAGCATGCTTTACTATGTAGATGCCGTAAAAATAATGACTGAGCAGAAAATTAGGGCATCCATAAACTACGTCGTAAAAATTTTGGACTTTTAATACACCCCCTCCTTTGACGTCAAGCCTCGTTTACAACCAAGGCCCTTCCTCATGTCGACGTTGCAATTGCTACTAATGCCTCCCCCTTTTTAGTGATTAAAAAAAAACTCAATGTTATTTTTGGATTTTTTAAAATTAACTATAAAACTTTATTTACGAATGGATCTGATACTTTGAATAATGTTGCCCTCTGGTAGAAGCTAGTGAAAAATTATATTTAAAGAGACAATAGTGACAAATTGAAATAGAGCAAATGACGCCGGATGTGCACTCATGCCTCCCTTCCTCCTGTTGTATACCATCGTAATAAGTAAAGTACCTCCTAGATCTACCGTCTAGATCATGACGTCTGTTTATGGTTCTCTGTGATATAAAGTCGTAATTGGTAGCAAAGGCGTTGAACAAGTCAAGCAGGTTAAATACATCACCTTCAATATGTAGTAGTCATGATCCCGTAATCGAAACCTAACATCAAATGGTCATCACACCGAAAGAAATGGTCTGAAAACATAAATATATGATAACAAAGTAATAGAACATACGTGTAAGACACAAAATGTGTGTAATACTTATAGCAACGTTCGTAACGTAATCAAACTATTTACGTGCATAAACATTCTAGGCCATTTTGCACGTGTCGGGAAGAGATTGGATGTGGTTCTTTCAACATTCATATACAAACTGTTTGTATTATCTTTAAAATTAAATTGAGTTGGGCATCATCCTTTAATTGTTTACCTTCGCAAGGAAATAAGCTCAGATAAAGAAATAAAATGAAAAATTTAAAATAAAGCTAAACTTTATTATTTTGTAACGAACAAAAAGTTATTAGAAGCTTCTAGAATTACGCCATCCCGGTAAAGAAATAAACAGTCTCTGTTTAGGTATTAAATTACAAATGAGAAGTGCTTATACGAAACTAAACTTAAAATCATTTAATAAGAAAACAAACTAGCTATTTAGATAACCTCGGGCCAATAAACATACTTCTGGCAACTATTAGTGCTCACGGCAAGGGTCTAAAATATATATTTATTTGAAATATAAAGAAAAAAAGGAGTTTTTCGACTTACCTCATTAAAAGACCACTAAAACCAGATTTCGTCCTGTATGCTGGACGTTCAAAGAGAGAAAAGAAAGATAAATAACGCGAAGGTTAGCAGCGCTCACTAACCCTCACTTTTGGGGCCAAAGTCGGAACTATTATCAAATGCACTTGGATCCTTGATGTCCTTGAGGTAGTTTAGGTGAGCAACAATAATTTGAATATTTACTAGAAATCATAATAATAAATTTTTTAAACTTTGAAAAATAATTTGAAACGGTTACACGTATTGTATTAAAATCAAAACCAATACGAATCGAACCAAAAGCATGTTAAAATCGACTGAGATGAAAACTGAGAATTTTTGCGGCAAGACAAGATGCTTAGAGATAATGGTAGGGAACGAAAAAATCAGAAATACATACGAAATAGACATATCATATTTAAGTCGTTTATTTTATGGCCATAGAAAAAGAATGAATAGAGATTGTTGGGAGTTATTCTTGCAAATAAACCCACTAGTCGTAGATCTTAGAAAGACCAACGGTGAAGAAAGTTCTGGCAATCTGCATCACAAGAAAACATGCTACGGGGACAGAGCATCCCATAGGTATAAATGAAGAAATCTTAAATTGATTTAAAAAAATACAATTCCATTTATAAAACATTATTTACAACACAATCTTTTAAATTTCTGAGCGTATACAATTCAGCAAAATGAGGAAAAATGTATATATATTCGGTTTTATAACGTCTTACGACGTTGTCCGACTCCCAAACGCCACTGTATTCTGTCTTGAGTTAAATCTTCGTCCAGATTTCTAGCGCTAATCGCGTTCCTAACTCCCAGGTTCCAGCTCTGTGGTGGTCTTCCTCGTTTCCTCTTCTCTGGGGGTTGCCACATCATCGTTTTTTTAGGCAATCTTTCGTCCCCCATTTGGCTCACATGCCCATACCATATGAGCTGTTTTCTCTCAATATCCTCAACTATAGTGACCTCTATATCCATTTGTTGTTTTATCACTTCATTCCATATTCTGTCGGCTCTTGATATTCTCATCGATCTTCTGATGGCATCCATTTCCGTGGCTTCGACCTTATTCTTATATTTCTCGGTTATTCTCCATGTCTCAGCTCCATAAAGTAGGCTAGTTTTAACCATTGTCTCATAGATGTTCTATTTTCTTTTCTTTGATATTTCTTTACTCCATAGAACTCCGTTCAAACGTGCTATCGCTCTTCGTGCTTGTACAATTCGATGTTCTATTTCTCGTTCGTCTTTTCCACTACGGTCGAAGATGACGCCCAAGTATTTATATTCGTTGCATGGATTTATTTTATGATTGTCATCGATATCGAATTGTTCTGCTTCAGCTCCAATTGAGAGGTATTTTGTCTTTTCTAAATTGATATTTAATCCCCATTTCTGGTATTCTTCAATTAGTTTTCTAAGCATGTATTCCATGTCATCTTTGTCATTTGAGATCACCACCTGATCATCTGCAAACTGTAAAGTACTTATGTAATCCTGATCGTTCAATTGTATACCCATTCCTTTGACTTTCCTTTTCCATTGTTTCAGAGCTGCAGAGATATAAATCTTAAATAGAGTCGGAGAGATACAACATCCTTGTCTGAGACCCTTGGAAACTGCAAATTTTTCAGCTAAGAGGTTTCCGAATTTCATTTGGGAGTTTGAACCATAATATAGATCTTTGAGAGCACTAACCAATGTTTGATGTATGTTTGATGTGCCCAGGACTTCCCATAGTTTATTTAGCGGGACTGTGTCATATGCCTTCTCAAGATCTACAAAAGTCATATGTAACTCTCTATTTGTCACAATTTTCTTTTCTATAATTTGTTTAAATGAGGAAAAATGTGCTTAATGAAAATTTCTGAGAATTATAAATATTTTGGTTTATAACAGTTAACTGCGAAATTGGTTAAAAATGCGGAAAATTTTGTAAGACGTCCTTCAAAATTTTCTTGAGAATAAGAAAGATAATGTTTATTT